TGCACCGATGAAAGTAGTACCCAAGAAATATCTGAAAAAATTATATACATAGATATCTATTTTGCCATCAAAACTTGATGTTTTAGTGGTGTTAAATATCTCACTTCACGACTATAATACAGATTCTTGTACTCTTCTCTAAATATTTCTTTCTAACATCCATTAATTCAGGATCTTCAGACATCACGAGACTCTCAAAGTAGTCGAAAACGGTCAAAATGCTCTGCTTATTCTGAATCACAAATCCGCAGTAAATCATGAGACACTGTAAGAAACCTATTACAAGTGTGAGAGCGAAAGCGAATTGAAAGACATCGTAATCCGGATTATAGTAAATTTGATGCCACACAGTGCAAAACAATGCATAAAAAATAGACAGAGGAAAGATTGAGAGCTTGATGATGTTCAAGAATCCAAGATTGGGTAAGAAATCCAGTCGCCAAATCGTAAAGAACAGCATCACTAACTTTTTCAATTTTAAGTGGTTCTTATTCAGCATTTTGCCGAACTAACTTGACTGAAGTAAGGAAAGTGTTTGATAGAAGATGAACCAATTGCGGCTTTTATACTATTTTTCATGATTGTCCTTATCGTTCTTATAATTCAAAGTTTTCTGCAGTTTTTGAAATATTTCCCAACTGATTTCTATTGGATCTACGCAATTTGTTTGACTGTCAAAGATGTCATGTGAAATTTTCAATCCTTTACAATTGAATTATTTGTGGTATAATAGCAGTCATTTAGTACTGAGCAGACACTTGAAATATTCAAAAACACTGATAGCGAACATTTTTAACCATGACATTGTTGTTATTGGAAATTTTGACCTCTTCGTCCTAATTTTATAGTGATGAATTTGGTTGAGCAAACAATCTGCTAAAGTGTGTTTCTCAATGAACTGCCATCAGACTTTGAGGAAGTTTATTAGACCTTTTGTTTGTCGGCCTCTCGAGAGCGCTAAATGGTGTTTTGGAAGAATTCCATTAGGTTTTTGGCGCATTTGAGACACTGAACCACTCTCGAAGAGCTCCTCATACAGAGTCATGTGGAGGGAAGCAAACAGAAAAAGCATCACGCTGTTCTTTTATGGCATTTCAATTGCTTCTGAGAATCGAGTTGTCTTCCGCAGAAATCGAAGGAGTGGATCAGGATGACAGATTCATGGTGAGCAATTAATAGGGGTTTTGGGATCGGCTTAAGAGGTCTGAAGAGAGATAATTTGTGGGTCTTGAGAAATGACCCGAGATTGTGCGGAGAGGTTTTCCGGCACTTCTTGCACCGCCAAGCATAACACATAGCCCAGAAATCCCGTTCGCCGGCTAAAAGGGTATCCATTCCCCATCCGAAAGAAGTGTGAGACACTGAGAGGAGATTTTTTTGTGGCCACTTTTTTGCTGGAGTTCTCAGATCTCTGGTTTTGCTTTCTCTCGCGCAAAAAGACGAGATGGACAAAAAAAGAGAGAAACAAGACACCGCACAGCTAACATGAGAAGTGTATCGGCCTGAAGACGAGCGTTTTCCCAACTCTCAGCGTTCGACCTTCAAGCTGCAAATTACAAATAATGAAGCCAATTGAGTTTTATGGGCTCTGCTTGATCGGCGCAGTTTTGCGCAATGGATTCGCACATGTCGGAAAGACAATCGCGACAATCGGTGTTCAATTGATTTGCCCATCATCGATCTCATTTTTCACCAAACAATGATCAACGCTCAGTGGCGCAGTCATCGCGATCATCCGCCCGATCGTCCATGTGGAAAATGTCTAAACAGTTGCAGAATTGTCCTCGATTGGAGTGCAATTGAGAAGGCAGCAATAAATTTGCATCACAGTTGCACAATAACAGAAGTCCGGACAGTGTTGTGTAAATTTAAAGTCGCGAATTTTTTCACCATTCCCACTCGTTAATCACACACGAGCGCCACATGGGCGCAACAGCCCCCGTTCGAGTGCCACGACCCCCTGACTCTGGCACGGGACCTGCGGATTCCGATGACAGAGAGTTATTTTAGACTTTCCCGGAATTTCCAGTGCAATTCGAATGATAGAGTTTCACGTTGTGGAAAAATGCAGCGAATGTTGTCTTGAGAAATTCCACTCGAGTCCTCACGAGTGTGAATGGTTGAGCCGCAGAGAATGATGCGGAGAGATTTCAGGGGAAAGAAGGTAGAAGGAGTAATTTATTTGCTCTCCTCCTCCTGCTTCTGTTTGATTGCAAGACAATGTCGGCCAGGGTCGAAGTAGGGCGCAAAGTCGCCCTCCGAACTTTCACTGGTTCAAGAAATGTCCAGCGAAACGTGCAAATTTGTGTGTTTTCGCGCTTTCCTATTGAAGACATCGTGAGAAAATTTGTGTTGACTTAGAACTGTTGAATATGTTGATTGAAAGGGTTATTTTCCAATTTCTTCCATTGATTTAACTCATGACAAAAGTTGGACTTATATCACATCCATTATTTTCATATTCACATGCGAAATTTGCACTATTTATCAACTTGGATGGGTTGTGAAATTGTATAAAAGCACTCTAAAATCGATAAACGCCGCTGAAACATGGCACTTTGGCTATTTTGGGGACACTTTGGCAAGACTGGGAAATAATCTTGGTAAACTTTGCAAAATAATACTTGAGCTCTTGGCGATAAGGCGACAATTTCCAAGAACTCTATGTATCTAAGTCTCCTTATCTGAGAGTGGGACCCTAAGTTCGCAGTCGCCCTGGACGACGGCGAGTCTGTGCGGACGTCTGACTGCCCACGAGTGAGTAATGAGAGCAATTTGGGCGCCACGTTCCAGCGGAGGCTGCCCGGAGAGATTGTGACTCTCGCCAAGAAGGCAGTGCGACTGGAAGAAAGGCCATTACATCGATTTCTATCTTCCATTTCAATTAACTCCGGCCACAGAATGTGTTTGGACTGAGGCAGATAAGGAGTAATCACAATGTGTTGTGCGCGTGAGGCAATATTAATATTTGCCGCGCTCTTCCAGCTATCAGAAAGTACGCAATGGCAAAGTCGGCGATAAGTTCCAACAATACCGCAGTGTCACACGATAGTTGCATGGGCGAATAGGGGCTGCTGTTCCTGCCAGTGAATCGAGGAATGTGTCTTCACAGGCATTCCTTTGATCTCTTCTCTCCTCAATTGGAGGTTTTTTAGTAGAGTTTTCGAACCCGAGAAAACTCAGCTCAGCGCGATCGAGTGAAAGAGACTCCGAGTCAGTTACCGATGGATCGTCGTTGAGTTCAGTTCGCAGTGTTTGCGCGCTTCGTTCACAGTGATTTCGATCGTGTCTTTCACCCTCAGGAATTCCATTGTGTCCTCAACACGCCAAGCAAAAAGGATAAAGTGCAGCAAAGGCAGAGAAATGTGAGGCAAAATTTCTCTTTGTGTCGCCAAAAAAATTGAAGTGATGTGAATTGTGAAATTGCGAAGAGATTAATTCGCTAAAATTGTGCCAATGATCTTCGCGTGAAGTTGAAGAATGTGTTGAGTTTCCATGGCCTTTTCTTTCGTATCTCTCGTGACGGTGCCCCGCGGAAGGCTTTCTGGCGGCAGCACGAGAGTCTCAGCTGATCTGGATTACGATGTCCCCGTGACTCGCAGGCACATCACGAAGGTATTGATATTGAACAGTTGGCTGCTGCTGCTCACCCTCGTGCGAAACCATCTGGCGCGAAATTAGGGTCTTCGCCGCAAAAGTTCACTATCGCGAGATTACATTTCCCACCCATAAAGTGCCTGATAAAATTCCTCCCCTCGAACAGAAATGTTGATAAATGAGCTGAAATGAGCTGTTTTCGAGCAGCTTCTCTGTCTCTCACTGTCATGTGATCAATATTTTGGATTCCTCTCGAACTAATGGGGGAATCCAATGGTTGTGCATCCGGGAAAAAAAGATGATGGTCAGCAGAACTGTGAGAATGACAAAGCAATGAATCATTTTTATTTTTTACAACCACCTCTTGTGTTATTTATTCGTGAAATAAAAGAGAATAATGAGTGAAGTTTCACTGAAGTCTCGTCGGGTACAAAACACTGAATGCGAAATTGAGGTGTTGTATATTTGCCCAACTGGTTTGCATATCATTAAAGAGTGGTGGGAATGAATATTTATTTTATGCCGTGCAAATATAAAATACACACACTGTGATAAAATAAGCATAAAGTGACTCTTTATCTCCTCTCCTCTCCTCTTGCTTCCCAGATGAGAAGAACCATCACTTCGGCACACAGTGAAATTATGTGCTCTCTTCCAGCCATCGATAGTTATTAATGATTAACTCTCAATCAAATTCTCCTCAATTAGAGATGATTTATCTAGAAAAAATACTCTCTAGCATGCAAATTACTCATAAATTTCTCTGTCTGCAAATGAACCATGTTAAGTATATTCTCTCTCTTGTTCGCATTCGTGTCAAATTGCTCAAAAGGCCGCCGCACTTCATAAAAACATTTCTGCCCAAATGCTGCCCCTTTGCCAATATCATGATTTCAATGTTTGTCGCTCGAACAATGGGAATTACACTTATGATCCCATTTTAATGGCAATAATCAATTATATATCGCCTAATGGCGAATTATTAATGACGATTGTTCGTGCTGGTGAATGCGGAGTGTCGATTATCAACTTCCGTGTCGGTTTTGTGGGGGAAATGACCGGATTTCTTTCTCCCATTGAGAGTTCCTGCGCCTTCTGGGAAGTTTGCTTGCAGAAATTGGGGTTCGTCTTACATTTTTCAGGTCACTCTCAAGAGTAGGACGAATGCTTCAAAGACACATTGTTTGCCTTTCACATACAACGCATTCACCACAAGAACTAGGCAAATATTTGCCTGATTTTCTGACTATACAGACTTTTCCGTTAGAGTGTTTTAATGTGATTTTGCTGACAAATTTTCAATCCCATTCACTTGTGGAGGTCAAGCTAGTTCCACACCCTTGCAATATTGCAGAGTTGACTTGAGTTGCATCTGATGTTTTTGCCTTTTCTTTTCTTTGCAGCCAACGTACGCGAAGGCGATTTATGACAACATCGCCGAGAGTCCTGATGAATTGGCCTTCAAGCGAGGCGACATCCTGACGGTTATTGAGCAGGATACGGACGGCCTGACGGGTTGGTGGTTGTGCAAGCTCAGAGGACGGCAGGTGAGAACAATCGCCCTCATCTCGAGTGGGTTGCATTGCATGGGGGTTCAAATTGCCGACGAGGGCGTGAATTATGAGGCTGCACGCTGCAGCACTGAGAGAAATCGTGAAGTCGCCTAACTTGGCAAAGTTTGATTGAAAAACACTCGGAAATGTTGGTTGAATTAACAAAAAAGGATATTTTTCTGTCTGGAAATCGGTTTCATTGCACAAAGTGAAACATTTCTATTCAATAATGAGATTAACAGAAATAGGATTAATTTCTGAAATTTCTCACTCTGTAAATCGATTGACTTCTCAAAATAACCTTCTTTCTCTCCTAATTTGCTGGCAACCAATAAACTTCCTCCTGGGCGCAATTTGTGACTTTGGCAGTTGGCTGATTTGCGACAGATGCTCATTGTCGCCCTCGAGACTAATTGCGTGTGTTCGATGGGGTTGCGCCCCAAAATTTCAATTGAAATTCTTCTACGCATTTGTGGCTTTTGATTTGGAGAAACATATTAGATTTCCTCTGTGTAAATTGAGTTTGAGAGTTTCTATTATTCCACTGGTATTTGGAATTCACTCAGTTTTCTCTCCCCTCTCGACAGAGAAGACCTCTTGAATAATAACCTCTTGTCTTTTGTAATTTTTATATGGATTCCTGCAGCCACATAATTTACTTCACTTCATCTATTATTCCTCCTTTTTTGGGACCCTCTTCGCACACTCCTTCGCCCCGAGCCACTTGAGTTACACACAATGAATGTACGCAAGTTGTTTTTGCTCTCGTGAAATTATTATTATTTATGGGACACTTTTCTCCATCTCCTGCCATTTTGGGGGAAAGATCGCTCGCTTCCGTGTCCCTTTTTCTGGCTCTGAGCAAAGCTAAGTCAACACTTAATTCTCACTAGAAAACTTTTGTACTGAGATAAGCACTAAAGAGCATTACACACTTCCGCCTTTCGTGCTGAGATTTCAGGGGTGGCTCATTAAAGGCACTTCACATCTGCATGCCTTGAGCGGAGTTCAATAAAGGATGCCATTAAAATTATCCCTACACTGGCAAAGTCTGTAATTTCGGGCTGTTTATTAATATGTTGCGTATGTTGCGCAATAAAAGAGGCACAAGCTGGAATGGTTGGAAAATTTGATGCTTTATTATCCAATGTAATCCCTTGTTGATTCAACCCTTCAAACACACTCTCATTTATTCAAGGGATTATCATCAAAATTGATTTTATCTGCTGCTTTATGCAAATGCAATTAAAATATCGCAGCTATATAATCAGCATTGACGCCTTTACAGAACATTGAATATCTATGAGTTGTTTATAAAATCACAATTCCTCATGACTCTTCACAGACATTCACGCACATATTCTACAGCGATTATTGGAGTCAAGAGTGATAAAGAGTGGAATTAATGCCATGGCAGTTTAAGAGTTCACGACATCAATTGAGGAAATGTCTGTCATGCAATTCAATTGCAGCTCATTTTCACTGCCTTGGCACGCTGAATCAATCTGCGACGCCGGCGAATGTCGCGAAGAGAAAATTGGGACTTCGGCTCAATCGATCCAACTAATTATGCTGCTTATATCAGTTGTCATATCGACAAAGTGCAGGGTCTTTTCCCAGCAGTTTCCATCGTAACTTATACGACTCGCATGGAACGTGCTGCCGTGCTAAAGCGCCCGAAATTACGTGTTTCCCCCCCTTCGAGAGACGCATAAAAGGCCTCTGGAGAGGGTGTAAAAGTAGAGAAAAGAGTCCCAGTGTCGTGTACTCAATAAATTTGAACAGAAGAGAACCCACAGAAAGAGACACGATAAATCAGATGGAGACGACCTTTTTTGTGGCACTTTCTTCATTTTGATAGATCCTTTTGTCCCAAGAGTCTCACCCCTGCCGTTGAGATGCCTTCCAGATAGTCGAGTTTGATGTAAATTTTGATGGATTACGCCAGAAAAGCCCTCGAATCAACAAGAATTACACGAAAGCGACACACGCCAGAGACTTTCTTTAGGCTCTGGGGCGTTCTTTTACCAGAAATTGCTGAGAATATTAACATTGTCATTAATTAGGGTAATTTTCCATAATTAATAGAATGCTAATGAAAAGCTTCTCATTACAATTTCCAAGACCTTCTTCAGGCAATTTTCCTGCTGTTCAAATACTTCCTCACATCACTGTATTTTCATAGATTGAATTCTATACTCTATTGCCGTTTTTGCTTGTTATTTTTGCACACACACAAAAAAAAGGATTTCTTGGAGCGCGAAATTGAATCTCATTGCTTGGATGTGAAGCAGAAGAAAGACTTGACGCTTCTGCGACGCGACGCACACAGAAAGCAATCAAGAGATGGCAAAAAGAAGCGCCAAATTGGTTAGAAAGTCGATTGAAATATCTGGTGAATTTGCTTCCCTTCACTGCTATTACGTGGAATTATTCAATTTCCACGAGCACGCGAGTAGGAGGCAAGATGGGAGGCTGCAAGATGGCCAGCAGCGGCGTTCAGACAATTGTAATCGTTGCACTGGAAATCACATTAATTGACGCAATTACGCGTGACTGGCGCGTCTCCTCGGGCGCAAAGACAGGAAGTTATGAACTATTGACCCCATCTCGAGACGAATCACCACATTGATTTTGCTACACTTTTGCCATCGTGTTTCGCGGTGAAATTTACGAGAAATCTAGCTTGTTGATCCACTTGGCCACAGCTAAATGGTCAATTTCCATTTAGTGTTGTTCTCACATCAATCGAACATCAAAATAGAGACACATGTAGCATTCACTGGCTTGTCAGATTAAACAAATCGATTGACTGGCGAGTGCATCAGACAAGGCGAAAAAGAGCTCGAAGCGGAGATAGAGAGCACGAGAAGAGATATGATATTTGGCTTTTGGAGGCTTGAGTTTCACGATGCCCAACATTTCAGTCGTAAATTTCATCAGTGGGAATAATTGAGTGAAAAACGATGCCGAAGATGCCTTTGAAGGCTCACCAAATGCATTTGCCGATGCCGAGATGAGCGTTTTAATGGCTTTTTGACCAAATTAGATTTTCGCATATTGAATATTCAGTCGAATTCATCAGCTATTAAATATATAATTTTTTGAAAGTGTAAGAACTGAATTATAGGTATTAAATTGTTCTAAATTTCAAAATATAATTGATTGCACATTCTCGAAAATCTTACTTTATTCTTTACTAAGAGTTTACAAAGAAATGCGCTAAAAATATTCAATTGATTATTTCAAGTATTGGAAAGCAAAAGCGCTCTGACAAACATATACTTTTCTGAAAGCTTACTAAATCAACAAAAACATGCTGAAGTTGTAAAGAAATCGATCAAGCGGTTTTCGAGAAAACTCCACTATAACTTTGATAAATTTCTCTTCAGGGAATCTGTCCAGGAAATCGCCTGCGAGTTGTGCAATCTTACGACAGCGGCTGCTGCAGTCCGTCTCCAGTCTCCTCGCCATGCCCATCGATCGGCTCAGCCAACAGCTTGTATGCCAATCACACGACAAGTGTCACCAATCCCTCGGAGTTGTACGAGAACACGAGCGTGGCGAGGCTGCAGAAGCACGGCAAGAGGCGATCGTGGCACATAATGCCCAATAAGGTGAGTGCTGATAAAGGCCCCTCGCGGCGATCTCTGCAGCTCCCGCGATCCGTCTGGCCGAGAGCGTGTCTCGGCGGGGATTTGCATATAAGTGGGGCTGCGAGAGATCGCTGATGTCATGTCTGGACTGGATGATTTGGAGCAATTTCGCGCCTTCGCGTGCGACGCAGCGAATCTCCCACGCAAATCGATATGTTCCGCCACAGAGGAGATATATTTCACTTGCCATGAAAGCGTCATAACTTCAGTGCACGATCACACCCACGATCAGGCAAGAAATCAATACTGTGGATGCACTTAATTCCACGAAATTGCCAGAGAGTCTGTGAATGATTAAGCTAATTCCGCGCTTTTTATTCTGTCTCACTAATAAACCTATTACGGAATCTGACTCCGTTGTTCGCCGCCTCGCGGGTTACAATTTTTCCATCACTACAAATCTTGCGATCATACGGATAATATTAATAACTTTTCACTCATGTGGGCGTGAAATTGCATTTTGCACTCTCAATCCCACTTGAACAGCCTCAAGAGCTACTCCATCGAGGAAACACGTGGTTGCGACAAGGAGTGCTTCAGCTCTCATTGCACAATCACACTTTTCGCCATCACGGGAGATCATTTTTATTTTTAACACTCACTAATTGTACACACGAACGGCTATTTCTTTGATTAATCCCACTGAGTATGTCAATTAATCTTCCTCAAGCACGAGCTTTCCCATTAAAGAGGCTTAACTTTTGATGGAATCAGTAACAGAACGGCACTAAAAGTGACAATACTGGCTGCCATTTATTGGATTCTTCGGTAAATACCTTCTCTTGGCGCACATGAGCAAAAAAAATCTTCAAAATCACCGCGCTTAATGGATGAAGAAGGGCATTTGAGATTGATTGAAAGGAGAGGAAATTCGTAAAAACTGTTTACACACATGGGAAATTGTTCTTCGTAAGAAACTTGGGGAAAACTATTAAAATAAATATTGAATTTTAACACAATACGCGCCTTCCTGTTTGCGCTCTTTTCACTGCAGATCTCACATTTTGTTGCATGATGAAATCCAACACTGAGATTTTGTGGAGCGCACAATTCGTGGAATTGTTGAAAAATCCCAACATTTGACCTCTTTTATCCAGAATTTTGCCTCTTCTGCAACATTGTTAACGTCATCCATTGTCCATTCCGAGTTGGACAATGTAGTTTTGCGACAAATCACTTGGAATTCAGGGATCATCATCAAATGAATTTGCAGCTGCTCAATAACTCTCACTTTCCTTTTCCACTCCACCATTCCTCTCCGCAGACTTAGTGAATTAACACGAATTGCATGTTTTTGTGTTCTTGCATGCCTCACATTGTAATTCATATTGCCTCTTCGCTCCGCAAATTGCGATTAATACATTTGGTTTATTGCTGCCGAGGCACTCTTCAGACCCTCACTAATCCCATAATGAAATAGTGGCATTGAAATCAGTGTGACGTCTGCGAATCCTGAGGATGAATTGCGAAGGAGGGCGAGAAAAAGGGGCCACAAGATATGAGAATTGGGTTAAAGACTCCCAACCTAACTCAAGGCATTTTCGCCCCGACAATCACATAAATCCATTCACGCGGTCCCTTGTCAGTTTTGGCGGGAAAATGGCCAAACTTTGCGAGACCGCCCCCATTTGCCAGATTCAGTGTCACAAGCCATTATCACAACATCGCGTGAGGGATGGCAATTGAGTTGGATTTGAGAGGGTGGAAGAAGTGCGATTGATTTCTTCTGCCGCTTCTTTGCGCGTCAACAGTATCTTTGTCATCCTGACAGGCGGGAATTCCCACAGAGCGCGACCAGAGAGATTCGGGAGGATGGCAGAGAATGCGGAAATTGTGGAATTTCCACATTAGGCGTGCAGGTGATTTCGAGGAGCCATTGTCATTCGGTGGGAGGGAAATTGCTGCTGGAAGTTCCGGTGGCTTTTCCTCTCTACAACATTTAATCTCCCTTGTTCATGGTCAAAATGGGCTAAATGGGGTTATTTGTAGGTCATTTGCACGAGCACGGCGACAATAGGTGACAATTTGTGGGTGAACAAAGTGACTTTCATGGTTTAACTTTCAGCAAGAAGTAATCTCTATGCTGGGCAAATTGTTTTCTCACCCAGACGAAATTCCCCAGCAAATGTATTTAAAAAACTTTCCCAGAGCATCCCTTCAGTGCGAGGGTGAGAAATTGATCTGGAGGAGTTTTATGACGGAAAACCGCAGAGCTCTGAGGGTTGCGCAAGAACGTGACTTTGGGGAAAACACACTCGCGATTATCCGGCACTCCCCATTGGCATTGAGGCGCAACCCGAGGGTGAATTCCCTATCGGCAATTTGATTAGAGGAGTCTATTTCTGGGATTGCGAAGATGCTCAGGGAAGCGCGCGCCCATCGCGATCTGGCACGTCAACACAAAAGCCCATAAAAGCGAATTCAGTGGCTCTGAGGCGGCGTCACCAAACAAGGAGAATGCAACATTATTTATCTGCCGACTCTTCGTGCGGGATTCTTGCAGAACGCTTCTTTTGTGTGTCTCCAGAGCACAGTGTCGAGCGCTGTGGATTGTTTGGGAGGTGCATTGTGGGCAAAACATTGCTCCTTTTGGCCCTCAAAGTGCGCCACAAGAGAGGCGAGACGCGACATCTCCCCCTTGGACCACAGTTTGCAGGGGAGCAAAACACGAGCAACGTGGCAAAGAGGCTGTTCACGGCTGAAAGTCTTGTACAAACTCCGCTCTAAATCTGCTCCTGAAAGGAGAAAATTGAGTTTGCTCTAGTTTCACATCTTTGCTGCATTTTAGTGCTAATTAGAATGTGAAAAGCGAGGATTTCATAGACAAGCTAATTAGTTTCAAGTTTTTCTTAAGAAATTCCCCAAAGTTGTTTATGTTCCCGCTATTCTTAAGAAAAAAAGAACACATTTTAAGTCTCTTTTTAAATTTTTCTAGCTGAAGAAGCATAAAAACAGTCGTTTTTACTGTAATTATTGATTTATTGTTGAATAAGAATATATAAAACAACAAATCTCATTTGAAATGCAAGTTAAAATTAATGAGAAAGTGTCGATTGAGCATTTAGAAGTGATTCTTACAGAATAATATGAACACTTTTAGCTTTCATCTTAAGATTATACGTTATTTGCAAAGTGCACATTGATTCCTACTGAATTCGAGAGAGAAAAAGATCAAAAACAGCGACTTCTTGTATAACGAACGCAATTACACAAAAAGCGTGATCTGGAGAGACTTCACAAATTGGCAGTATTTTGAGAAAACTGTCCTTCCTCCTCCTCAATGAGCACCCCTTCCGACCCCTTTGCGAGAAGCTATCACAGTCACATGGCAATGTCCAGAGAACACGTTCTTCGGTGTCTCATTTGACATGTTGATGAGATGAATGCTCCGCTTGATGGATAGTGGCTTCAGCGTCTCGGGCTGGAAATTCCATAGAAATTGATAGAAATACACGCAGGTTAAATCATTTCTCAGGCACACGAGTGGAATTTGATGAAAATTTCTGTGGCAGCCCCAGAAAAAGTGGTGCTCGAACGTGATGTCTTGTGCGGTTGACGCAAAAAATTGTCATCCTGCGAAGGGTTGTGAATTCTGATTGTTTTTCGGCATTCACACGACATATTTCACCCTCGGGGGGAATGTTGGTGCGAGTGTCATCAATTTGAACAGGAGTTTGGTGTGTAAATAATTAATTTTCCAATTTAAATATTGAAATACGAAGAGCAGAAAGCCTTCGAGGCGCTCGTGTGAGAATGTGACCAGTGTTGGTGGAGTAAAAACAAAGAGCCAAAGTACAAGAATCAATGGTAAAGTGTGCAAGAGAAGGGATAAATTGGCCAAGTTGTTTCTCGTGGTTTATCCTTATATGGATCTCTTTTATGCACCTCTTCAGCACTCCGTTTCCCATACAATCCCCATGGCGGAGATATTCCGCAAATTGTTACGATGCGAGGCACTTTTTTTGCGCGCACACTAGTGCGCTTTCCATGGAAAACTTTACAATTTCCTGAAGCCATCGCGCGAGGAAATTGTGCCAAAAAGTGTCACTGAACTCTGTCCGCCACCAGAAATCGACACACAGAGTCGCAAATTCAAGACATTCTTCACCATTTCACTCGGCTCATTAGGTGGAGAAACAAATAAGTGCTCGTTTAAATGATAATCACCCAGACACTTTAGAGAGAGAGATGAAATTATTCTTGCTCTGCAACACATTGGAATTTAATTACATCAAACTCTGCAAGACGGGAAAAACTTCTCGGGCAAGAAATGATACTTTTTGCGCCGCGCAGAGGAAGTTTTCTTCTGCCTTTTGTACCGTAATCACTTCACTGTGCTTCATACTGCCAGTAATAATTCATTAAAAGGACACTTTTTACGGAAATGTTGAGTGAAAAATTTAATATACAATTTTTATTGTTGACGGTTTTTCTCCTTGCACAACGGAAAATTTCCCAGTGTGTTGAATCTTTTTTCCCTCCGCTCTGCCCGAGGGTTTTTCCCGGACACATCAATCCCTCGTCTACCCTCATCCTAATGAATGCCATTCATTAAATTCACCCTCCCACACTTTGTCATCCCGGGACGGCGAAGTGAAAGTCATAAAAAGAGCATATTGTTCATGAGATTCTAAATGAAAATGCTACATAATGAGGAAGATTCTATCATCGTAAAATTGAGAATAAAAAGACGATAAATGTAATTACATTGGAAGAAGATGTTTGGCAGTTTGCATAAGACATGCAAATACGTTTCCGTGTGTCTTTAATCGAAATTTAGTGTGCTCAGAATGGATATTGTGAAAGAAAATGTGTGAAAAGACGAAAGGTAAAGTTAAAGTCGCGAAACCTGCTGAATGTAGTTAATTTGAATTCCTTTTCTCCTGAACTGCAAATTCCTGCATTCCCTGAAAGTTTAATTAGATTTGTGCACAAAAAGCGGCGCGAAACCCTTTGGGGAAAAGTGGCTGAACATTTTCCCTCGCAGAATTGCAGAATGATTGAGTTCCACACCATGAAGAAGTCTCCTTCGCTGCCAATGATACTCAATTTCACTCCCTGCAGCAGATGCAATTTATCCTGGCGCAGGGCGAATAAATTTCCGTGGAAATCGATTTAGTAGTGTTACACAATGTGCATTCTATTATATGGGCGCTCCTTGGCAGTGGGATGGGAGTCCTCTGGGGTGTGCAGAAGTGTCCAGAAGTTGCTCTTCCGCCGGAGAGCGGTTAGACGGGAGATGACGTGCCCCATTCCATCCGCGATGCCACGGCGGCGGCAGCAGCCATGGCGCGTAGCCTAGGCAACGCGGTCCGTCGGGGTGCTGCACCGATGCCACTAAATTACGCGTCTACCCGCGATCTTTACGACGCGCACGCGAGCGCGCCCCTTTATTGTCTCTGCGTGACCGAAGCGTAAAGTGCCTCTAATTGGGAGACAGAAGTTTATGGCCTAAACACGTGAAATTCTTCCCTTTCTCCACTCTCAAATTCAATACAGAGAAGAATTGGCTGAACTACGTAATAATCGTAATAATGATCACTTCGCCGTGAAAGGGTTAAAGAACTCTTTTTCTACACCAATTTTCTACAGCCGAAGTTCTGCACTCTTAAAGAGTATCAAACACTGGTTGCATCGCTTTAACTTGCGATGTCTCGATGCTTCCTAGTCTGTCTCCCACCCTTTTTTCCCACTGACTTCAGCTTATTGTATGATTAGAATCTGCTGCAAACTTACTTTTTAACTCCCCTTCGAGTTTCACAACTGCCAAATTCTGCTCGTGTGTTGGCCAAATGGAAACAACATTGAGCAGAAGTGAAATGTTTTTATGTATGCTTCCTCACTGGACTTTGTGTGCGAAAAGTTGGTTAATTTTGTGTGGAATTCGCAGGGAAAATCCACACATTTTCCATTCTTTTCACTGTTTACATGGGCTTTGTAGGGAAAGAGGAAAGATAGTGGGAATCGGCAGTGGAAAAGGGATGGAAATGATGAGAATGAGGGGCGCATGCGTTCCTCTGGGAGACCATAAAAGCACAAAACCCTCTCTCTCGGACAATCTCACACGAAAGTCACCCTCAATGAGTTCGTGGAAGGTAGTATTGTGAGTAAGTTTGCCAGATAAAGACCGTCTTTTATGCGTGTTCTCATTGAGAGACAAAAGTGCTTTCAAAACTAATTATTTTCCGACAACTTCAGGAGACAATTTCATTGTGGTATGAAAATTCTGTTCTCATGTACATTCCCAATGTTCTCCAGTATCGAAATAAGCGCCGGAAGTGTAGAGAAAACACCATAATTCCCTCAAGTTGCCGTCGAAAGTGAAGTGCGAATGGAAACGGAGAAGATAGGATCAGAGATGGGTGAATTATTGACAAAGTTTGCTCTCTCTCACTTCATTTTCTGAATGCCTCAAGAGCTTTTTATTCCCAAACACCATCGTTAAGTGCAAATCCTAGAATTCGCTGGAAAATCCATCAATAAATATACATGCTTTATGCCTTCCGGAAGTTTCACGACAACTTTTCATACCCATAAAGGAGACAATGTGCTCAAGAGAAGTTTACATCCAGAGTGAAGAGGCGCCTAGATGAGAGATGCATCGCATTAACAGGATCTCTCCTTGCCTTTGCAGGTCGTGACTCCTCAGAGATGTGGTGATGTATATCTCTATGACTTGCTGCCGACTCCACAGCGTGGAAGCGGTTTCCTCGGCACCGCGTCGATAATGTCTGGCGACGGATCGGAGACATACGACGTGCCAAAGCCCGCAGTTCCCGTCAACTACGACATCCCGCGCGTCTGGCACTCAGCCAGAGGCCGCCCCGAAGACTGCTGCTACGACATCCCACGCCCCGTGACGCTGCTCAGCCAGAAGGACCTCACGCCGAGCAGCTCCAACTCCTCCCTCCTCACCTCGGACAGCCTCAGCCTGTCCTCCTCCAATCGCTCCTCGCTGGCCAACATGACGGACTACGATGTGCCCCGGCGCCTCGCCAGAGCCTCGCCGCATCCGTCGAGCATGAGCACCTCCACGGCGTCGCTGCAGCTCAACTACGACGTCCCGATTCCACACAGTCCGCAGAGCCAGACTCTGCAGCTCAGCGCCTGCAAGGAGCTGCCGCTGGAGCTGGGATCGGCGCTGGACACCCTGGCCAAGCTCCAGACGGAGGCCACAAACGCCGTGACGCGGCTTCTGGCCTTCGTGTCGCCACAGTGGCGGATGCGCGAGAAGCTGGACCCGATCTTGATGGATCTTAAACTGGCTGCCGTGCGTCTGCGAACAGCTCTTCACGACCTGGCTGAGTTCGGAGAAGGAGCCCTCGGAAACACCGCTAAAGCAGATGACAAAGGTATCAACTTCTCCTCTCCACTCCCAAGGAAGGTACTTAAATCTTTCCTCTTCCAGGTCTTTCCGTGAAGCTTCGTCCGCTGGTTCGCGCACTGAAGGACGCTGATCGTCTGGTGCACGAGGCTTCGCACTGCATCGACGTCCAAGGCTGGAGCCTAGAAACCCTGGCCAGGGTGGAGACAAAGCCTGGCACGCAACTACCTCCGGACAGTCTTGATCAATTGATCGCCTGCGCTCAGACGCTGACAGAAGACGTCCGACAGACGGCGTCGTTCATCCAGGGCAACGCAACGTTGCTCTTCAAGCGTATCTCGCCCAGCGTGACACCGCAGACGCCCAGCAACAACAACAACGGCGACTGGCCGGAAGACTACGACTACGTGTGTCTGGAGTCCAAGGAGGCGTCGGCGCGCAAGAATGCCGAGATCCGCGACGCCCTGCCGTCGGATCTGCAGAAGAACTTCGAGAATGTGGTGAAGAACGCCGAGAGCGCGGCCATTGGCGCCACAGGCACGGCTGAGCTGGACGCCAACGACAAGACGCTGCTGGTGTACTACGCCGCGCAGACGGTGACGCACATGAACTACCTGACGCAGGCGATCGACGCCTTCCTGCAGACCGTTGAGCACAACCAGCCGCCCAAGTTCTTCCTGGCTCACGGCAAGTTCGTCGTCCTCAGCGCCCACAATCTGGTCAACATCGGCGACATTGTGCATCGCAATGTCACGAAGCAGGACGTGCGAGGAAACATTCTTCAGTGCGCGGATGCCCTCAGCGATGGGATGAAGACTTGCGTGGCGAAGACGAAGAAGGCGGCGCAGCACTTTCCCAGCGTGAACGCCGTGCAGGAAATGGTGGATTCCGTTGTGGACATTTCCCACTTAGCCAGGTGAGCGAGACGCCATTCCGGCGCCATTTTGATTCTAGATCTATGATCAAATCTAAATGCTTTTTCTCCTCCTTTTGCAGTGACCTCAAGATTGCAATGTTGAGAGCTGTTCAGCAATAAAGTTTCTACATATATAAATTATTACCAAAAAAGAGAACCCAGTGTAAATAAGCGCACAACATCACACTTTGGAGCCCTTCAGAAGGACGGCAAATGAGCAATTTTCATGCAATGCAACTGATAATGGAGTCAAATTCACCCCCCAATTCGTGGGTTGAAGCAGCGAGAGGAGTAGATTTTGTAGGTGAAAAAAACAATGGAATGGAACAGAAACTGCCAAAATGCTTGTTTTTACAACGCAACTTACGAAGAAAGATGACGAAGAGTATTTGTCAAGTAAATACATTTTTACATGTCTATAAGTAAAGAAAGAAAAAATATATCGATAAGACATAAACATGGATAAAGTCTGTAGAAAGAGCCTTTAATGAGTTGTAGGACTGCGCAGATCATCAAAAATCAATCCTGATCATTTTGAACGATAAACTTTCTCATTGTGATATTTAATTGTAATTATAATTTAAGTTTATTGCATCATCGTTCAATAAGAGTACTTTAAATAAATTCATTAAGTTTTAATGCTGAAAAATATCCCTTTTCTATTTATTTACCTCTGCAAAAGTACTGTTTTCCTTGAACTTCACGTACTTCTGTTCATTCTGGCCAATGAATAAAAAAAAACTTGTAGCGATGTAAGGAATATTTAGATGTTTTGTGTTCTTATTTAGAATACATCCAGAAAAAAAACTTTTTGCACAAGAAGAGTAAAATGTGTAAGATGGACTTTCCCAATGTTTTTTTATCCACTTAAATCGATAAATATCGATTTTGTAGTCATATAAGATAACTATTCGCATTATGTATGTATGAAGTAAAAAATAAAAATATACATTGATTAAAAGAGAAGATGAAAAATCAATAGTTGTGTTTCGAATTCTGTGCTTTCTTCTTGCGTATTCGTCTTGAAAACACTTCAAATGGATGCGACAGAGGAATGTTTTCGCCATCCTCAATTGTTTGCGGCAAGGGCTGGTCCTTGGTTTCCGGCAGGAAGAGGCTCATGACGCCGCCAAGGACGAGAAGAGTCCCCATGATGATCAAGGGCAGCACGAGAATATTGCTTCCCTGCGGAATACGAGAATCGAGCATATGCTGCATGGTGCAGGGTGACTCAAATACTCACTGTGTAGTTGATTATTGGTATCACGACTGGCCCTATCATGCCTATCACAGAGCTCACGCTCATTCCCAAGCCCCTGACGACAGTTGGGTACAACTCCGAAGCCGCCAGAGGAAGAACCACGAAGGCCGACGAGATTCCCATCTTCCCGATGCAGTACAGGATCAGCATCAGCGTTTGCCTCTGCTGCACGAGAAATGTGGCCAAACACGCCACGCCGCCGACCAACATCGACAAACACAGGATCCATCGACGTCCACAGAAGGCCAGGCTGGGCCAGAGGAAGATATAAGTCGGTAATTCCACCAATCCCGCCAGGAAGAAGTTCCAGATCTCATTGCCACCGAGAGCAGGGGCGTAGTAACTCAGGCCCACATAGACGCTCGTGTTGGCGAACCAGATGAAGGTAACGATGAGGGTTTTCTTGCGCATGTTGGGCGTTATCAGAAGATCCATGATGCCGAAGGATCGCGCTTGAGGAGTGAATTTGGCCGCTACAGCCTCAGCTTGCTGCCTAAGGAAGCCCTCAAAGTCTGACGGAAGGACTTTTCCGTTGATCTCCGCCATCTTTTCCATGATCTTGGCGGCTTCGGAGAATTTTCCAGTGGCAATAAGCCATCGGGGGGATTCTGGGAGAATGAAGAAACACCCGAAGAGGACGAACAGAGGCAGTGAGACAGCCAATGTCAGATATCTCCAATCCCTGATGACAAATACTATTCCCGCCAGCAGAACTAGTCCCAAGGAATAGGCGATATTTGCCACGATAGTGCAGAAGACTCTCTTCGATGGACCAACCATTTCGATGGCTAGAAAAGAACATAATCATTTGACTGAATTCGAGTCTATATCTCAGTCTGTACCTAAAACGTAAGGACTAGCAAGTATAGCAGGGACCGTGACGCCAACAAGTGTCCTGAAAAAGACCCAGGAAGCGTAGTTCCAAGCAACTGCACTCAAGCATCCCGCCACGATTTCCAACAGAAGGTAGGCGTAGAAAGAAGGACGCCTGCCCCAGTAGTCCTGAAGGTAGCCAAACACGTAATTCCCGATCAATCCTCCAACTCCGAACAGCACAAGCGCCACGGTGGCATAAGAGTCCTTCTCGCATACCAAATCCCACTGCAAAGCCAGGTTTAGTGGCGAATAGAGGCAAACTAATCAATTTTCTACCTACTTCCGTTACGACGGTGCTGCGAAAGATTGTCGTGTCGTACTTCCAACCATTTTTGCAACTCGACACTTCACTGCTCAGGACATTTCGCGATGCATTCGCCCCCTGATCGTCCCAAATCTCAGCAAATTCACTGTAATTCCGCACAAACATCAGGCATTCTGAGAACCTAGGAGCGCCATCGCGCATTTCCAGAGGCACAGTCAAGTTGCGGATGCTGAGAGTGAAATTCTCATCCCAGGCATCGAGCTCGGGCACGCGACACCAGTGAGCAGGACGAGCGGCAATGAAGAGTTGGCTATAAGCATGGAAGGCGCAGGGAAAGACCGCGGGAAGCAGAACGCCGCAGATGACAAACTTCTGGTAGGGACCGAAGGAGCCCACTTGGGGCAGGATAGAGTCAAAATCCATCTCTCCACTGCAAAGGTGCACCAGAGACTGAGGCTGCGATTTCACTCAATTTGCCAATTACATCAATTTAAAGCGCATATGTCATCAGGGCTCAAGCTGGGCGCATCTCCGAAAGCGGAAAAGTGATCAGACACAAGAAAATGAGGAAATTGCAATGTATTGCGAAGGTCAATGCTTCATTAGCGTCAGCGCTGTGACGTGTACTCCAGCTTCTTGTATTCAGCCTCCCTGGCCAGCACGTTCTTGTACCACTGCGGATCCTTGGTCAGGAACTCCTCCGGACGGCCGCTCTTGTTGTTGTAGTGAAACTCCGCCACGCCATAGCCAGGAACGCCGTCCATCTAGAAATGGGTTTTCGCGGGAAAGAAGTGTGAAAATGCTCAAGGATGGGAATTGAAATTACTCACAGTGACTGAGATGAATCTCTCGAACATCTTTGCCTCCCATTGCGACCCCACGTAGTGGACATTTTCGTGATCCACGAGTATTTGAACGGTATGCGTTCGTCCGCCGGCTGAGAATTGGAAAGCAAAGTCCTTAGGAGGTATTCCGCCCTCACCGTGCTGATAGAGTTCGAAATCACACCAGCTGATGGCGGACAGCTTGCCTTTGTTCGAGCAGATGTAGCCTGTATTTAATACTGAACAGGTGCAAGGCTGGCAGATGACGCCCATGGACACACTCCGGCCATCTTCCAGGAAGAACACAATGAAGGCGTAGCGATGCATCAGACTCCAATCGCGCTTGAAGCCATAGCTGTGATCCCTAAAGCCACGCATCTCGACAGTCCTGGATTCGCCGTTGATCTTCAGCGTGCCTCTGATAGATCCCATTTGTTCGTAGTGCGACTGATGGGCGCTCTTAAGATAGGCAAAGTACTCCTGCGTCCACTTCTCCCGCGCCATGGCCTCAGCCAGGGCTCTGGGATTGAGATCGCTGTCGAAGTCAAAGAAGGGCCACTGCGAGAGGAACTCCAGCGAGAATTCAACGTCGTGCAGCTTCTCTCCTTGGCGCATTTGGCCGCGATACCGCAATCGCCACTTGTTCATGGGCAGAATGGGTTCGCTAATGAATCCCGGCCCGCCAAAGGCGTTGCCCTCCTTGCCGAAGCTCGTGGTGAACATCATGGTGTCCGGAAACTGCGGCAGACAGATAAAGCCAATGTCCGGGATGACGAAATACAGCACGGCGTGAACGATGCCCTTGTGCCGCCGCTCAGTGCCCATGATAAAGCGATAGCCATCGGAATTGGCGCCAATATAGAACACAGCGTCAAAGGCTTTGGGATGATCGGTCAGAGGCTGCACTTTCTCCATCAGATTCGGATCCGCGATGGACTTGGCACCCTGGCCGCCCCGATTCGATCCTTTCCTGTAGCGCAGCTGAAAGGAAGGCTCTTTTCGTCAACTCTGTCGGGAAGCGGCATTTCGCAATCTCACCTTCCGAATGTAGAAGATCACAATGAAGATGATGTACTTGAGCCAGAACCACTTTCCGCGCTGCTGATAAACCCCGAAAATAGGCTCAGGATCCTTCCGCCGGAAGAGCCTGTACAGAGCCATCAAGAGTATGGAAATCAGCATTTTCACGCACCGAATATTTCAACTCCACGCCAAAACTGCGATGTCGAGTGCTCGCAGGTGTGCGAATGGGTGTCTTGAGGCGAATATGGTCGCGAAATCAACCGTCGATTAGATAAAGATATCTATCAGTTGCGCTGAGGGCTAATCAATTTTATCTTGGGGTACTTTCCCGGGGAAAACTGATTAAAGGTCATTGTATTCTTGGCATTATGAAAGACAAGACAACTGTTGGGAAATTATGATTGTCGAAATTATCACTATTATTCAGCATGCCTTTGATATAAGATGATAATGTTCTATTTTTCCTATCTTTGTTATCTCCTGAAGACGACAGAAATTATTATTTTCTCTTCTTAAACATGAGCATCCTGAATACAAAATGTTAATATTGGATTCTGTTTTAGGATAGCAAGAGTAGCAGCGAAAAATATGAGCTAGAAATTTCCATTTCGGCAAGAATCTGTTTAGGACTTTCTACAGAATTTGTGAAATACATTAAATGATACTTACAACATAGTTTGGTGACATAATTACTTGTGCACTCTAAAGGTCATTAAGAAACAATCATAAAGCCGATCATTGAAGTGTTAAATTCCAAGAAATCAAATCCTGCAAAAGGTTTCTTCAGGTAATTATTTCCCGATCAAACAGGTCAAGTCAGGTCAGGTCAGGTCAGTTTGAGAGAGTATAAAAGCAGTGCACTGAGGAACTTCTAGTCACTTGATCGCTGATCTCTGTCGTGAACTGTTCACTGTGTCAGACTTCTGTGCTCTAAACTTTTGCAAAGTGTTGTTGCTGCTGTTCATCATCTTGTCGCCCAAGAACTGTAAGTCATTCCTATTCGTCATGTCTTTTCGAGATTTGAAGAGTAAGAAAGCTAAGTCCGATGGCCCCAAGATCCCTAGAAGTTGGTTCCGTTGTCCCCGTAAAGCTCGTAAATTGATTGCAAATCGCTTCATGGCCTTCAAACAACCCATCGCTAGACCGTCTACCAATCGCGTTTTTGTGGAGAGGCTTTTCTCTCCAGACATGCTCATTCAGGCTCTTTCGGTTCGCAAAATGTCCCTCGGATTGTGGATTGATCTCACCACCAAAGAGACCTTCTACTGTCATGAGAAGATCAGGGAGAAGGGAATTCAGTGCGTTTCACTGCCTTGTGCAGAATCCAACAGTCCCCCCACCCTCACGAATGTCCGTTTGTTCGCCATGTACGTTGATCAGGCGCTGCAGAAGCGTCCCAACGGTGTCATCGGCGTTCACTGTCTTCATGGTTTCAATCGCTCTGGCTTCCTCATTGTCTCCTACTTGGTGGAGAGGCTCGGATTCTCCCTTGACGCGGCCCTTAAGTGCTTCAAAAAGGCTCGTCCCCCCGGCATTTACAAGCAGTCTTACATCCGTGAACTCTACTTCCGATACGATTCCATCAACAACGTGCCCCCTTCCTCCCGTCTGCCGCCCTGGCACTTCAAGTTGTCCACCATCGCCAAGAATCCCGATTACTTGTCCCACATCCCGAAGTCAACGGCTAGTCTCAAGAGGCGTCGCGAAGATCTTGATTTCATCGAGGAGAGAAAGGCCAAGATCTTCAAGAGAAACACTGAAGATGGTGGCCTTCCTTTCAGCGCAGATTTCAAGGGTTTTACTCCCGTTTCCGATCCCATGCAACTCCACGAGCTGCAATTGCTTTGCCAAAGCATGTGCAAGTGGAAATCCCTAGAATTCCCTGGTGTTCAGCCCCTTTCCATGAACAAAGATGATCACTTCGATCTGCTGCTCTCCAAGCCCTATTGCGTGTCCTGGAATGCCGAAGGCACTCGATTCATGATGCTTATCATTGGTAAGGATCAGATTTACGTGTTCGACAGGAGTTTCAGGTGTTTCCGCGTTTCTGGTCTTCATTTTCCCCTCCGCTCGGATATTCGGTATCATATCACCCACACCCTGCTCGATGGCCAGCTGGTCTTCGACAAGGTGGACGGCGTTGTCTACCCGCGCTTCTTAATCTTCGATATCATCCGGATCAATGGCCTCAGCGTCTTCAGGCAGCCCTTCTTTCCCGTTCGCTACGATTGCATTTACCGCGAAATCATTCAGCCCAGAGAGGAAGCGCTCAAATGCGGAATCCTCGACAAGGCTTCTGAGCCCTTCTCCATCAGGCAGAAAACATTTCATGCCTTGTCCCGCTGTCAGTTCTTCTTGTCCCCGTCCTTTTTGAAAGACTTCGGTCACAACTCCAACGGCCTCATCTTCCAGTCCACCGAAGATCCCTACACTCCCGGCGTGTCGCAGTCCTGTCTCAAGTGGAAGTCCCCGTCTAATGTGTCTTTAGATTTCAGGTTGCAGATCGTCAGCGAGGGAGACAGTGACCCGCACAAGAAGATCGGCTTGTTGTGGGTCGAGGGTTTCAGTAGTGCAGTCGCGAGGGTGAATTCTGTGGCCACCCTTGAGGAGTTTCACTACAAAATCATCGAGTGCGTGTACAGCGACGGTCAGTGGATTGCCTTGCGCGAGAGGAAGGATAAGAAGTCGCCGAACAACTTCGAAACCTTCTTGAGTGTCTGTTCAACCATCAAGAACCCCGTCGATTCTGCTGATTTCTCCAAATTTGGTTGATTTTCTTCTCTGTCGCTCTTTTCTTTTTCAGGTACACTTTGGTTTTGCGTGGCAAAACCACATTCGATGATGAACGACTGATCAATCTCGATCGGTCAAGTCCAAATCTGAGTGCCTCTTCGTGGCGTCATCGACAAGTAGCCTCAATTGAGGTGAAACCAAACTCAGTGGGGCGATTTTTCGGTGCTGAACCCAAAATATTCCCTTTCTCTCTACTTTCAATTAATCTTTATTATTTTATTCCTGGTAGTTTACAGTAAATTCAAGACACATACATTAATAAGAATATACATTTACTCTGTTTATGACACCTCTCAGTGTCGCTATACGTAGAAAACATCATTATCAACTCGTAATTTACTTATTATTTTTTTTCAAAATCTTTTCTTTTTCAACATCAAATATTTTTCAAGCATCTTCTCAAAAGGATGTCAAATATAGATTTTATATATATATGGTAATATTTTGTCTTCTTCAAAGAATTCACAAATCTCTTTTGAACCATTCGTCAAGAATTGTTCTCTCTGAGTTAACCATTCTTTATCTCTACTTTAAGGGCGCATATTTGCAGTATTACTTTATGTATAATTATAGCTTTGAAAAAGTTCTCATTTGGTTCTGGCGCAAAAAATAACAATGATGATAGAATTAAAAGCGTGAATCAATGATAAAATATTATGCTTATCCCCTTCAAACATTAATAGACTAATTGTACCCAAACGTTAAATTCACTTCCTTCAATTACCTCATCAGTCCATTGTGAAGATTGGGCGAACGCTTCGCAAAGGGAGCGCGAAACGTGAAAATGTGGCTTGAAAAAATTCGTTTGCTTTCCACTGTATAATCATCGAAGAAGATTTTCATTGTGTGGGAAATTTATTGACTATTCATTGTAAACTTCTTTCCTTTTTATGCGTATAAGATACTAGACAAGGTTTTGGACGAATTAGCAATTATTATAGTAATTTTCTCACCCTTATAAGTAACGCGAAACGAAGCAAAATACTTCTAGTATCCTGAGAGACAATCTGTGTGGACATTGGAAATGAAGAAAGAATAAAATATCCTGATTTATAACTTACTAACAGAAGATTGAGAATAGTCATGAAGTGAGAGGAGAATTTAGTCGCGCGAGGCTCCAATGATGGCCAGAATGTACATGAAGATATTGACAATGTCCAAGTACAGATTGAGTGCGGCGAAGATGTATTCTTCCGGACTGATTGAGTACTTGTGCTTCCCGCCCATCATCAGTTGCGTGTCGTAGATCAGGTAGACACTGAATATGAGCGCTCCGAGTGATGCATAGATCAGCGTCATTGTTTTTCCCGGCACGAAGATCGCAATGATGCCGAAGATCATGAGCACGATCACAGCCACAAACAGCACGCCGCCCATCACCGTGAAATCCCAGCGCGTCTGGAACGCGAACAGCGTCAAACCGAGGCACACGGCCGCCGTGATGCCCACCGCTAGCAAGACCTGGACGCCAAAAGGAAGACAACTCAGCATGCGGACAAGGAAATATCCATGCATTCACTCACCTCTTCGGAGCGGAAGTTGCTCGCCATGACGCCCAGCATGAAGGATTGCGCTAGCGTGAAGAGACCCAGGAATATGAAGTTCATCGGTGCCTTTCGACGCACGTTCGTGCAGCACGCCATCGCGATCAGAGTGACAAAGAGCAAGATCAAGGCGATCCACCACATTTCCGGATGCGATCGCACCCAATTCGCGGTTGGCTTGTGGTACAGGAAGAGCGCAATGAAGCCCAAGCTGACGCATAATTGAGCCTGCAATGAATTGATTGCATTTGAAGAATTTTCACAATTGAATTCACAAATGCATTTGCTTGCATTTCTCAAGACATTTAGTATCAAATCTTCCCTTTGAGCACAAGTTACAGAGATTGTACTCAAGTGTCTTGTAGCGAAAATTCATCTGGATGAATTAAATTCTCAGCTATTCTCTAAGTTCTTCTTCTTCTTAATTGTGCTAAAGCAATTGAATTTAACAGAAAATTCCTGCCAATCCGGTGGACATTTCGTTCTGCTGACTAAATTTAATTTAACTTCTCAGATGTTGTTTTTATCACTCACTGCTTCTCTAGAATTTTCTTATCTCTCATTTCACGCTTAAAACTTTGCTTTGTGCGCCTTCCATATTATCTTATCGTCTCAAGATAGCGTCATTGTTAATCGATTTTGTTAAATATTTAGATTTCTTCACCAACTCACCATCAGAATTGAGTAGACCTTGCGGATGAATCCCTTGCGAATGGACTCATCTGTGAAGCCGAAGCCCTTCACTTCCGGATCCTCTGGATCTTCCGTGGCTCCATATCCGCCGGGGTTCTGCGGCGGCACGTAGCCGTACGGCGCGCCCTGGCCGGGCGGCATGGGATTGGCGAAGCCGGGCTGAGGTCCATAGCCGCCCTGTGGCGGATAGCCTCCGCCTTGCGGCGGATAACCGCCCTGCGGAGGGTATCCGGGCTGAGCATAGCCGGGCTGTGGATAGCCCGAGGCTGGCGGGTAGCCGGGATTGAAGCCAGGTTGCGGCGGATAGCCAGGCTGTCCTCCGTAGTACTGCTGATTGGGATCTGTCGAAGAGAAAGGCGTGTGAGTTCGCGGACAATCTTAGCGGCTGTCAGAGGGTTGATCGCTAAACTTCATGCACCAGCAGTGTCTGTGTCTTTTGGACTGTAAAATCACTGAGATGATGAGACCAAACGGCATGCAAGGGTGGACAATTGGAGTAGGAAATAAATGCTTTTACTCAATCTTGTGTCTTCATCGGCCATTGCCACTGTTTTTTCGCACTGTGTCAAGTGAAATTTCCCACTGATCGCGAGCGAAAAGTCCCCGTTGCGCTGCCCAAATGATAAGGTTTGACAGAAAGAAAGAGAGGGAGAGAAAATCTATAAACTGATAGTGATAAAATACAAACAAGCCTTTGACTCATTGACAGAACACACTTATGAGCATGTGTGTAAATAGAGAATATATTATCAACTCTCTCGCATCTTTCTAGTCAAGGTGAGATATTAATTAGCGGCATGCTAAGTAGAATATAAAAAAAAACTCAACACAAATCAGTCCAACAAGAGGATCATTCTTCAGGTAGCATCGCATTGGTTCTACTAATTGGATAGATTAATCAAGCATCCGCACACAATCTAGTTAATAATAATGTTTCTCCACTTCAACTTCAAACTTCCGTGTGATTTTGTGGTTCGTGTTGTGGCCAATAAGTTGCATTCACGAGAGAGTGAAGAAAAAAATCAATAAACCTTGGTAATAAGGCGGTGCATTTTGCCAGGACATTATTCACGACTTTCCCTCACGCGCTCTCTCTTAAGAATTGGCCTAAAACTTTCTTCCTGAGCAGAGAGTCTCGACTGGAAGAAGAGAGAAGAGGATCCACACATTAGCAAGAGTGATTCCTACAACCTACCGTTCATTGCTTATATAAGATTATCTTCTCCAGAAACCAACTCTGATAGCAGATGAGTTTATCTCGCTGATTAGCCCAGAATGCGCTTCTTTCTCACACACCTGCAAGACAGAAAACGAGAGAGAAAAAGGTCATTTGCAGATCCTGGAAAAAGACACTCAACATTTCAGCAGCTTTCTGAATTTCATGAATCTCATTAGTGAGCAGCAAACGACTTCCGCGGAAATGCAAATAAGTGTATCATGTGATGATGAAATAGAGAAGCTCCAGAGCAAGAATGATCTAGAAATCAAACCGCCTCTTCAGAGGTAATTATAATCCGGACAATTAAGACGGCGAAAGCTCAACACAATCCCAACAATAATGGTCTCGTTATCGTGAAATCATATCGGTCCACTCATGAGTAATAATAGTGCCAATTTGTACTTCCCAAAGAGTGACTCATTCGCGGTGGAGAGAAAAAATCCGAAGGTTTTCTCGCGATGCCAAAAGGGAGCCTGGGAAAATCAATACGACCAGAAGTCCACGCAATTTCTCGTGGATCACTGTTATCTGCCTCGAATAGCGCTATACACGGATTACGTACCTGTCTGAGAAATCTCCTTATCACACAGAGGGTGATTTTATCAAATAACGCCAACAATTTTCAAGAGATTCGCCTCTCTAATCACCCAAAAAATACAAACACAGAAGCGCACTTGGAAAAATTTCCTGCGATGACACTTCGAAAGAATGGCGGCGATGAATATCGAAAACCTCCCCCACCAAAAGCCGATAAAACCGTTGTCGTTCGGTATTGTGGACACTTCGTGGGACAAATCCAAATTCTTGCCGCGAATATTTAATTCTCAATTAATTTTGTACAAAATATGGCCAAAATTGCACAATTCATTTAGCTTTCCTCTGGCGCATTGTAGAGAGCCTGGTTTCGACCGCGGAATCTCTTCACTGGTGGCGTGACGCTGACATTCTCACTCGAAGTCTCCATGAGATTGTCCGTCGTGCTGAAGCTCACGAAAGTATCGTTTTCCTCTTCAGCCGGAGGTTCTTCTGGCACAGCTTCCTCCTCATCCTCATCTTCCCCCGTGCAGATGCTCTCATCGTTCCTGGGAGGGATTTCCACGGCGCTTCCGAGATTGAGAGGCTGCTTTTTGAGCATCATCAGCAATCTCAGGGGATCGTCGATGCCCATGGTGTCGCAGAAGAGAGTGGTTTGGGGATTTATCTCCGCCTGAGGCTGATTGAATGTCCTCTGGCTGTTTGAGGGATCAAAAGGCACCACAGTGGGCACGAAGTTCTCAGGAATTTCCAGATTCCCGCTGAATTTCTCTTGAACAAATGTCTTTTCCTCCTCAGTCGGGGTGAAGCTGAAGCGCTCTGCTCCGCCAGGACCTGGCATGTAGTTCGGGACGTGCTTCACGCTCAGCAGATGATTGGTCAGGGCGAGAATCGTGAGCCACTCGAGGTCGTAGTGGAGCTTTAAGTCTCCTTCGGACGGAATGTCGAGAATCTGCAGGAATCTCCTCCTCGGCAGGCACTTGTCCAGGGCCAGAAACTTTGTCATCCTGTCCTCCTCGTGCTTCACCACCGCTGAGAATTTGCAGTGCAGATGAGCGGAGAACCAGTGATCCGGCTTCAGGTGATTCAGGAGTTCCTCGCAAGTTTCGTTGCCCAGCGAATTTCTCTCGATTTCCTCGCGGAAGAAGGGCTTGAAGCGCATCAACTGCTCGGCATTGCCGTGATGGTAGATTCCTCGTGGCCAGTCGTGAGACAGGCAGATGTCCAGACGCCCTGAGAGCTGCTTCAGCCGGAACACTTCCAGGTTCCTTATGTGATAAACACTGCGAACCGTGCCGTCTGTGTAGGGAGACATCTCGAAGTGTCCTCGATGGTAATCGTGGGACTTGTAGATGCCCGACAGTCCGGCTATCCGGATGCCAGCGACGGAAATGACGCCGGCGTAGCCGAGATAGTAAATTTTTGGCGCCACCCAACCGCCATAAGGAAGTTCCTGAAGATAGTTTGACGCCTCGTGATTCCCACCAATAAATATTGTGAGGATTGGGGCTGTTTTCTCACCGCTGTAGTACCTGAAATGCCACAACACGGACTTAGGAGCAAGCTAGAGAGGATTTAATGTGAAAATTACTTGTAAAACGTGCAGATGTCACGATATTTTGGCGGCACCGCCATGCAATTGAGATCTTCGAGATTCCTCGTGGACTGAAAATCTCCACAGCAAATCAGGAGATCCACTTTAATGCCCTTCTCACTCTCAATATGGGCAATGGTGTCGTATATTTTCTCCAGCTCCCCATGAGCGCATCCTTCCACGGCGATTTTCATCCCTTTTCCGCACAATTTCCCAAATTCACACAAATGTAAACACCGCGAAGATTCAATTGACGGACGCGCCGCGACCTCCCATGCTCGCCGCTCGCGGCGCGCAAACTGAACGAAGACGTCAGGTGCTGAAAGCTTGAGCGAGAAAAGCTCACTGTATGCGGAAACGCGCCCATGTGCACGAGCATTAGCGTGACAAAGGCAGTGAAAAGTGTGTTTTAATTGCATTTTCGGGTCGTTGTGGTGATAGAAACTTGCTGAACATGAATGCTGAGAAGTTGAAGAAGCTGCAGGAGTCGGTGCGCATCGGGGGCAAGGGCACGCCGAGGCGCAAGAAGAAGATTGTCCACCAGACGCCCGGAACAGATGACAAAAAGCTCCAGTCATCGCTGAAGAAGTTGGCCGTCAATACGATTCCCGGGTAAATATGGTGCACGCGAGGCGCGATTGAGACGCAATATGAGCGAATTGGTGTGTTTTTTGGCCCACAGAATTGAGGAGGTGAACATGATAAAGAACGACGGCAGCGTGATTCACTTCAACAATCCAAAGGCTCAAGCTTCGCTCGCGGCCAACACGTTCGCCATCACGGGTCATGGGGAGAACAAGCAGGTAAGGCGGCGCGCTTATCGCGCTTCCCGCGGACCGCACTGACCGCACGCTTCCTCCGCAGATTGTGGACATGCTGCCAGGCATTCTCACGCAGCTCGGCCCGGAGGGGCTGAACCACTTGAAGCGGCTGGCCAACGATGTGGTGTGCAACGAGAAGCTGCTGAACGAGGAGGACGACGTCCCGGAGCTGGTGGAGAACTTCGAGGAGGTGGCGGACAAGGAGCCGACCGTGGAGAGCGTGACGAAGAAGACGGAGCAGGTGACGGTGTCGTAAAGCGTGGGCAATAGAGGAGTCTCAGCAAGATTGAAGATCAACCTTTAGACCGCTAATGTTATAGAAATTCACAGTTCTGGGCATCCGGAGGTGTTTTAAAAGATGAAAAATTGTGCGCGCACCCACGAATTGACTGTAAATATCTCACGCTTGAGACATCTGACCTTCTAGCGGCTGGAGCGTCTGTAGACGTTGATTCCATTGATAACAAGCAGTAACTTCAACATTTCCTCTTTTAAATGGACATTCACAAGATGGATAGACATTTTATTGTATTGCCTTTTGAGAAATGAAATAAATTCCAATATTTTTTCTGGTCAAATGCTTTTCTACTTTATTTCTTTTATTATTACAAAACTCCCCGAGGCGCAAGCCAAGGTCTTCTCTACCACTCTCGAACTTTCCCTTGGCTGGCGTGCGTGAGAATCCAGGTGTTCCACTCCTTCTTCACCATGGACATCTGCTTGTGGCGCGGATGAGTCTTGCACATCACATACAGCCTCTGCTGGCGCCACACGAAGTAGCAATCTTTGCAGCGCCTCTTCAGACGTCCCTTCACCTTAAATCCGTTCACTAGATTCACTAATGGGCTTCCTGGGCACGCCAGCAGCTGCCCTGGAGACTGTGTGATGGATGAAATTGACGGTCGTGCCAGTAAGCTGTGGAAAGATCTGGCCAGGATGGTCGGAATCGCTCTACTCGCTGTGCTCAAGCATCCCCGAAGCAGCCCAATGCCGGCAATCGGGAACATCTGAAACAACCCAGAAAGATCAATCAATTTCCATCCACTGCGACCTAGAAATCCCCATCCTACCATTTCTACCCCCAGTTTTCCCAAATAAGAAAATCTCGAGGAAATCCCGCACACTTTGCAGGTTATATTGTGGTATCAGAGCTTTTTCGACGACTCTCGCAGGTCAACTTTAGGCGAGTTGGAGTAATGTCAAAAAGTGTTTGAGGCGAGAAAAGGGAGTGTTTAACAGTGAGTAGAATTTCTTCGCATTTCCATCATTTTCCCACCGCAATTTTACATGAAAATCCCACCCAGTGATTGTTTACACCCTTGAGAATCTTATTTATATGGAGATTAGCAAAAATCATGTGAAATAATGGATATACGACATTCTTTTCCGCAATGCAAATTCAGCTTTTGTTCTTCCCTGTGTCGCATTTTGTTTCATCTTCATTTTCATCCATCGTCTGTTGTTTTTGCTGATGCCGCAGATACATATCATTTCTGAAGAATAAAATCCATAAAAACACAATCGTTGAATACGTATATTTCTATTAATAAAAGTGCTCAGAGTTTGGCGCCCTGATAAATGCCTTAACCTTAAAACTTAATTGATAAAGCCGGCGTTTTTTTTGGCTTAGGAAAGTCGATGCAGGCATTGCAAGAGGACAAGAAGCCATAAAATATCATTTGATTTTTTGCTCTCCGATTCTCTACATTATTTGCATTGATGTCCAATTTCAAGATTTTATCAAGTCGGATTAGTTTCAACAAGCGGGTTTGTTGCAAAATCTTTTTCTCGGAATTGGCGATCATATCAATCGATTAGCTCACTAACCCCTAAATATGCAATCACAGCATTTGTAGCCTATTAAAAGTGCCCGCATTGATGAATATCAGTCAGTATTTCTTCCAGAAACCCTGCGACACACGATGGACGAGAACAAGTGGTACCTCGAAAGGCTGGGCAGATGGGCTGAGCTGATACCGCTGAAGGAAGGCGAGAACATATTCGGCAGAGCCATTGGCTCGGATATTCACACAATCTCGTCATTTGCGTCTCGCAAGCACTGCATTCTCACGTTGCGAGAAAATTTGCTCGGAATAGAAGATCTAAATGTAAGCAAAGCTGACTGTAATTTTGCAGTGAAGTAGAATTCATTGGGTTTCTCTGTCTTTTTGCAGTCCCTAAACGGCACCTTCGTGAACGGCGAAGTGGTGAAAGACGCGTCTTGCGAGGTGAAGCTGTGGGACATCATTGCAATTGGTGGAAACATGGATCTGACGGATGCGCGGAATCATCAAGAGGCTTATGTGTTCAAGGTGAAGAGAGGAAGCATGGAACCGCCCAGAATCGATCCAGATCCAGTGATTATCGATTGTGACGCGATCGACGATGAGAATAAGTATTCTCTCCACATTCTGTCCCAAATGGCGGACGATGTGCAGGAGATTCACACAAGTCAGGCGCAGGAAGAGATGGATTTGAGTGTTGTGGAACCGCCGAAATCGATCTCGCCCGCGGTCATTGATTTGATATCGGACGACGACGAGGACGAAGTGGAAACCAATGTGGATCAGTGGTTGTCGAAGCTGTCTCAGAGTCAGCACAAGGAAGTGCTGGTGAAGACAAAGAAGACATCCTCAGACTACGGATATAAGCTGAAGGATGCTATGGTTGTTCTCAGTCCGTTGAGAATGCCGAGCAGCCCGAAGGATCACGAGAAAGTGAGTGAGGAAGAAGATGTTGAGATGCTAGAGACTTCGGCTCCTGTGCTTCAGTTGGAATGTGAAGATGAAGTGGACAAAGTTGAGGAAAAACAAGAAGCTGTGCCTGAGAAGCCAAAGATTAAAGCTAAGACGGTCGAAAAAGAGCATGATGCATCCAAAGAGTCAAAGGACAGGGAGGACTCAAATCGCGGGAGGAAACGCAGGAGACACAAGACGAATAGGGATAAGGAAGAGAGCAAAGACAAGTATAAGGAACAGAGCAGGGATATGGAAAAGGAAGAGAGCAGGAAAACAGAGAAGGAAAAGAGGCTGAAAATCGATCTGTTTGATTTTCCCAAGAAACACGTGAGTGAGAAAAAAGAAGATCCAACGCTGAAAGAAAAGCAAAAAGAAACAACGATGCCGAAAGAGGCCAAAAAGTGTGAACCGTCAACATCGTCGGCTGGCAATAAGGAGGAATTACTGAGGAAGAGGAATGCAGTGATGAGGAGATTGCCGGAAATCATTGAGGCGCCTGTGAAGCCACGAAAAAGGGCGCATCTTCGTGGATTCTGTGCCAGCGAAATGGGCAAGTCGACGAAGAAAGTGTCTCTGAAGACTGTGCGCAACCAGTTTGTCACGCAAACGACGAGGGCGGATGTGAGGGCAATTGTGCGCACGAAGGAGATCAAGGAGATCCGGAAGGAGAAGCTGAAGGAAGTGACGGCGAGTAAGGTGACAATTGGGGCTGAAAAGGCCATCATGACGAGCGCCCCAGCGAAGATTAAGTTGACGACGGAAAATCGCGGTAACTTCCTCACAGAAGCCCTGCCAAAGAGGCCAATTCCCAGTCGCAGGAAGAGCTTCGACGCCTCGATGGAGGCTCTCGAAAAGTCGAATAAATTGCCGTTACGCATGGTGCTGAGGCGCAAGAGTGTGGACTGTCGAGTGGATGTCGATTACACGCCAAGTGTGGAATCGTGGTCTGCTGAACTGGTTTCGCAGATTCCCACTCCTTCTCCTCTTCGTCACAATGTGTATAGCAGAGAGAAGAAGAGGATCGCTCACAATTTGCAGCCCAAGGAAGTGGTGCTCCCCGAAATCCCTCCGTTTGTGCCTTTGTTGCCATTCAAGCCACAAGAAGTGGAAAAAACAACCAAGATTTCCTTCGCAGAACCTCTGGTGGAGATCTTTGAATTCTGCCCATCGCCAACTTGCGCGGACGAGCCTGAAGATGATGTTTGCCACACAGTGGCGGACGTGATAAATGAGGTGACAAAGTGGAATCCCGAATGGCTGTATGATCCTTCGTGCCAGCGCATCAACAAGTCAAAGGCTTTGTCGCAGCCGCTGAAATCGGTCACGAACACCTTCAATTCCTACTCCAGCTACATCACGTGAGTCTTCTTGGGCTTCTTAAATTGGTGAGTGAGTTCTGAAGAAACTCTCATTGCAGCACGATTGTTCCTCTGATGCTTCTGGATTTGTGGGCGGTTTTGGTGAATGAGAACTTCCTGCACAAGGCCAAAGAGAAGATTCTGCTGCAATTTGAGTCGTGTTCTCAAGAAGACCAGAAATTTATCATCCAAGGTGAGTTAAAAAGATTGTTAATTGATCTATATGTTACTCATATAAATTCACCTTTTTCTTCTAGCTTCGATGATTCCTGTCTCGAGGCCTTGTTCACTGAGAGTTGGTGATTTGGTGAAGGCTCTTTATCAGACGCCACAATCGCACACGCACTTCATGTATGTGCGCTATGTGGACGCGAATGCATCGAGAATTTTGTTTGAGAGTGGATTTTGCTTCTTCAGCGAGGCTCATGAGCAGAAAGTCCTGATTAGTATTCACAAAGTCGCAAACATATTGAATTACTGCAGAGCCTTCGATAGACTCTTCAAGCTCCAGCATTCGCCGATGTGCAACATGATTCTGGATCCCAACAGGATGGAGAGAGATCTGTATCAGTTGAAGGAGGCTTTCTCGTACTGTGGGCAGGAATCGCTTAATGGCGAGCAGATGAAGGCACTCGAGGAGGTGTACACACAGTGCATGAATCCGCGTGGGACCATCAATCTGATCCAAGGACCGCCAGGCACGGGAAAGACACGCGTCGTTGTCAATCTTGTGGTACAATTGCTGTTGCACAAGCCGCAGAAGCTCTTCTCTGACTTGAAAATCCTCATCTGTGCACAGAGCAATGCTGCGGTGAATTTGCTGACGCAGAAACTGGGCTCATTGAGGGATCTCATGAGTGAGAATGAGAAGAGAAAGATGCGCATTGTGCGATTTGGCGTCGAGGAGAAGATGGATTACGCAGCTCAGCATTATTCACTGGAGACGCTGGCGAATTGCTACAAGCGCAGTCTGATCAAGACCAGAAAAGATCAGAACTGTGTAAAGACGTATGAAGGAAAGGTAATTCAAACAGCAATGATGAATCACAAAAGGATATTAATGTGTAAATTATTGCATTTCTTAATGTCTGTTTTCAGATCAAAAATATGGAGATTGAAGTGAAGAGAATGGAAGTGACAAATCCATTTTCGAAGACGCCAGGAAGAGAGGCAAAGATTGCGTATTTGCAGAGGAAAATCAACGAAATGAGGAAGTTCCTGGCCGGCGAGGAGTTCGGCATGACGTTCATCAATGAGTCAATGCTGGCAAATGCGAATGTCGTGTGCACAACTTTGAGCAGTTGCTGCAATCTGCTCAAATACGGCGTTGAATCATTTGATATTTGCATCGTTGACGAGGCCACAGACACAACTGAGCCGAACACTTTGGCTCCACTGCAGTTTGGCGTGTCATCGTTGGTCCTTGTCGGAGATCCGCTTCAACTGCCCGCCACTGTGCTTTCGCCGGTATGTTGAGATATTGCCAGAGACAGAGAGAGAGAGAGTGTGTTGGGAAGTGCGGTCGTTAAAATTTATGTGTCACTCTTGCAGGAAGCGAAACAACATGGTCTCAGTCGCTCGCTGTTCCAGCGCCTCAGCACCATTGACTCCATTCCCATCAAGCACTTGACTGAACAGTACAGAATGCATCCAGAAATCTGCCAATTCCCAAATGATTTATTCTACGACAAGCAGCTCAAGACGAATGACGCGGTGATTGACAGCAATTTCCCGTGGAAGGCGTACAATGTGTTCAGCTTGGATTACACTGTGCCGGATTTGCTGAGCCACGTCAGGGCCTCAATATCGCAGGAGTTGAGTTTTGTGAGCTGTCTGTTGACGGTGTTGATGACTAGAGCGCCAACAAGTCAGTACTCTTACGGCATCATCACGACACATTCGGAGCAAAAGAACACCTTCATCAAACACTTGAAGTGAGAAATTGCCTGTGAAATTAGCCTGAGAAAGATTAAGATTCGTTTTTGTCCATTGCAGCCCAATTGTCAAGAATCTGATGGTGAGCACTGTTGACGACTATCAAGGACTGGAGCGGGATATCATTATCATTTCGCTGGCGAAGACGGGAAGTGTTGGATTCTTGGCAAACTCAATGAGATTGAACGTGGCTCTGACCAGAGCCAAGAAGGCATTCTTCGTGTGCGGCAATTTTCTCAGCATCAAAGTAAGTCTTCAGTGACTTGAAGTGATCAAGAAATCGCTTTAAAAGTGTTGAATTTCTGCACTTGCTCAAATATCTTTCATTTCGTTAGAGTTTTAAGGATTTTATGGTGAAAGAAATGTTTTTAGTTTCATTTAAAAGACATTTCATGAATATTTATGAGCACTCTTATTAGTTTTTTTGTTAAATGTCCTTATTTATGATACAACTTGTTATTTTGTACTTCTATCATTGCAGAAGAATGACATTTGGACCAAGTTTATTCTCGATGCCAAGAAGAGAAATTGCTTCCAACAGATAAAGTCATTCAACGAGAGTATTCTGCAGAGTTACATTATGAAGTAAGAATGTGTTTATAAAATGAAGAAAATGCAATTATTTTTCATTATCTTTCTACTAAACTCACTTTCATTAACATGCTACCAAAAAATCAACCACTGAAGTTATGTACAAAATGTTTGAAATATAATTGAGAATTTGTAAAGTTGTAACTGTTTTTTTTTCATCTAAAAAAACATTCATCAATCATACTTTTATCGTTGCGGAGAAAGAAATGTTGTGAATTGCGGGTGTTTCGCTTCTTCCACGGCGCGCCTGACGATCGAAGAAAAGCTCACGGGAAAGCTCTGAGCGAGAGAACGCGTGCTGCAATTGTTGCATTCGGCGCTGCACGTGTGTTTGTGGAGTACGCGGTGGAGTTTATTGGTAGGAAAAGTTGTGTTTTCCAGCTTTTCTCGCACGCTCTCTCGCATGTGCCCTCCCCGAGAAAGCTCTCGCATGCGCACAGTCGGCTGCTCTCGCAAGTTTACAACTCGCGTGAGAGTGCGAGAAAATGTGTTTTTCCCGAGAGAGGGAGAGCGAGAGTGTGGAGAGAGAGTGTGATAAAAAGCATCGCTCTCGCGAGGGAGAAGAGGAATTGGTATCGCAAGAAAGGCAGTCGAGATTCGGCCTCTGTCGCGATTGAATGGGACTTTCTCTGTCTGTGTTGGCTTATCAAAGTGGATTTTTTCCTCCCTCTCAAGTTGACTACTATCAAGTGGGTGTAGAATTGCTGAATTCGGCCAATTTACGTACGCAGAAAGTCCAGCAGACAGACGAGGAAAGAGTGGGATATTGCGAGGGAAGTGATGATCATTTTCCACCACTGAAAGTGTGCAAAGTGAGTCCCTTTGTCCTCGTGAATTTCGGACTTTTTCCCACTGGCGACGAGTGCTGAGGAGGCTTGCGAGGAAAAGGCTTCCATAGGCAGTGGTCAATGAAAGTGAGTGGAAATTTCGGTGTTTCGGCTGGAATGTGCCATTCGATGTGCTGCGATGAAGTCTTTTTTTTCCGTGTGTTTGTGTGTGGAATATTCCTCAGCTGCCCTCGGGGAGGGCGAAGTGTGCCCTCAAATCGATCGATGAGGAGCCTCTTTCCCAGACCCGACTTTTCCCACGGAAAGTCACCGTGTTGCCGTGAGGAGGGCAAAAGTGCAGGAGGGCGGATGGTCCCTTACAGCGCGCACAACTTTTCCAGTGGGAAAAGCAGACGCACACACAAAGGAAATATCCTCAATTGTGACATTGAATGGGGGCGGTGGAAAAACGGAAAATTCTTACCTGCCCTTCTTGTCACCCGCTCGCGGTCGCCCTCAATATGTTCCTTGTTGACCTTATTTGTCTCTTCAAACCTGTGATCCGCAGGCAATAGACTCGATTTTCCTCCCCTCGCCCCCTGAAACACCCTCAAACCACGGGAGCTTCAAGTGAGATGAGATAAAAAGTTAAATTGGAAGGATAAGAAGAGGATATTTTTCGCCATTCACCAGTGGATTTTCCACAAACACACACACACACAAACACCTTCAGAGTGGAAAAATTGCGAGAGAAAAGTTGTAACCTTTCACCCTGTTTGTGGCATTGTAATTTTTTTTTTCTTAGTTCACTCCTTCAGCCTAAGCCGCACCCTTCCAAATGTTCTCTTTTTCCTTCATTGAGATCCTTTTTTTTTTCTTCTGGCCTTCTCTCTCTCTCACTCTCTCTCTCGAGTGGGCTTTTCCTCCCTCTCGAGGACTCTTTTTTTTCCCTCTCTACCCCCATTTCAATCACAGCCCCAAATGACAACACGAGGGGTTTTTCCAGTCACTGTATCGACCCTGAATGGGCACCTTCTCTCGAGCTAATTATCATCGCGGCGCATCGAAGGGAATGCCAGCTGAGCCATCGCACATAAAGCCAGTGCCTTAAGAGTTTTCTAGTTATGTGGTTTTGCCAGTGGAAAATGTTATAAATAAATTTATCATTAATATTATTTATAATTTGACGAACTCGGCGAAGAGCGCGCAATTTTGAGCTACACAAGGTTATTGCCATCATCCACTCTCGTGTGCGTCTATTTTAGTGACACCAAATATCAAAGTGAGTCCATATTTTATTTCCTCAACCAAAAAAACATCACAATTACATGAGAAATTCCTCGCCTGGAAGGAATTAAACTGCCACTTTATCATTGCCATTAGCACTGCCTCAACCCATGCAGTGAATCATGTGTGTGTGGTAATAAAAGTGGTATCAATTTTCAATACAACACAACACTGCACAGACAAGAGGCATGCGGATTTCGATGCGATTACAGTTGAGATTTCATTGTGACACTCGACAAAACATCTTTTACGACAGATAGAGCTTATCGTGGCCGCACAAGAACAAAAGGCCTCCCTGTGATTATAATTCCATTTCGATGGGGCAAACAAACAAATGTGCCTCAACTGCAGATATGCGGGCTGAATGTTTAAAATAAATGCGATATATTGGCAATGAGGCGGAGAAAATCAGCCCGAATGAAGTGTGCCCAATCGATTAAAAACATATACTTGAGCCGAATTGAGCAATTTCCTTACAATAAACAGACAAACTTGTGCAGATAAGACTGGAGATGAGTTAATTGACTGACTCTTTGATACACAATGTTGATATTACTTTAGATTTATACTTCAAGTGCAAACAATTATATTCTTCAGAGGAAGATTTAAAAAAAAAATCTTTCAATTCCGAGAACTGAAGCTTCAGTTCAAAGATTTTGCACAAAGAATGTTTGCAAAAGTGAAAAATTATCCCCACTGAAATGCTACTTTTCATTGGAAGTAAAGAAAATTGATAAATATAAAACTAGATCACAATGTTGGTAAATTCAATTGACATAGTAATCAAAATATTCATGCAAACTGTGGAAAATTGTCAATAAATGTGACTATTGTTCTGCTTTTTCCGTTGATTAAAACCCTTTTTAATAAAAAAATATTCTCTCTGCTGATAAAAATAATAAACTTTGAAGTTTTAAAATGTTGGTGAATATTAACAACAACAAAACATTCATCAATATCTGCAATTTAATTAAATTAAACTCTTTGAACTTTGTGACTTTCATTTATATTTATCAGGTTACACGTTCAATTATTATGGCTTTTATCAGATCCACGCTTAACTATAATGAAACATGAACAATCCATGTTGTTTTTATCAAAATGCAGTAATGCAGGAGTGAAATTTGCTGAAGCTCTACGGAAAATTAAACTCTAAAATGTGTATTTTGCGGTAAAGATTTCGGTTGGAAAATTTCTCCTCACAATTTGCTCATATCATTGCTACTTTCCCGAAATGTTACACCACAATATAGCAAGACATTTCCTTGCTTTTCTTCTAATATGCATGCAAAATTATTGCCAAACGTCTCAGGATGCGATTGTTGGTGGTTTTCTTGTACACAATTGCAGTGCATTTCATATGTCGTATTGATTTTCTCGCGCTACACTCTCTCTCACCATCGGGCGAATTGGAACATAGCTGGATGGGAAATCATATCTATCAAGTCCCTTTGGATTGTGGCGAATTTTCTGGCATCCTTTCCAAAATTTTCTCACACATTTTCCCATCACTCGCACCGTGAATATTCCTGAAAACGTCCGCAAGTGCGATGCATTTTGCGAAGTAACATTCACACCCACACTGTGCAATTCAGGGGGAGGAAAGGAGACTGTGGCGCTATATCATTAGTGAATATGAAATTGTGGACATGTGAGTCGAGCCGGCGACCTTGGCCGTCAGCCAAATCGCACCGCCGCGACGTGCACTTCTCAAGAGAATTCCCAGAAAGTCATCTCAGTTCCTGCATCACTCGAGCGCGCAGACCAAAGATAAGCCCAGGAGACGATAAAATGCTCCTTCAAAAGTACAAAAGTTCCTTCCACTCTTTGTTGGGTTATAAAGAATTATGGGGTTAACGTCTGGCAACTTATCTCTCGACGGTCCAGAATTCTTGCATAAAAGTTTATTATTGCATTATTTAATATAATCCCTGAGACGGGGAGAGTTCTCCCGCAGAAAACTGTCCCACTCTCGTGTGCTCCCCAAAGATCTTGGCACGGAATTTTTATATTTTATCTGCACTTCCGGACGAGCGTTTCCCCCATGAGCTCTTCCAACTCTCGTCCTCGTCGTTTTTGAGGGCGAAGGAGCGTCATCGTCCGAACGGAGAATTGTTGACAAACCTCCCAAAGCCAATTTTCCTACACAACGCGGCAATCCTTTTTCCCCTCATTTAAATATTTCACCAATTCATTATGCTACGCCCACAAACATTATGTGTGCACTTTGCCAGGGCTTTAGCAAATTGTGAAGCCGCAGGAAACATTGCTGTCAGACTTATAAATAGATTTGCATAACCTGTCAAAGTGCAATTGCAGAGATTGATTGGCGCATTTCAACAATGAATGAATTTGTGGTTAATGGTATCAATCATATCATGAGACTTTCGTGAGTGTAAAAATGGTTCTTTCGTCTTTCTCCAAGCCCCACTCCATGTGAACAAACAATAATTTACTCAGTGGCCACAAAGTGAGCCAAAAACTCATCGCAGTGTAAAGAGAACATGTCACAATATTCCAGTAAATCAACTGTGAATTCTTGCGTGGTGTGAATATGCACTGAAACGATTCAATCACACATCGAAGCTCCGCCCACTGGAATGCCCCGCCCACAAACTGCTCACTTCTACAGTTTATCCTCACTTGCGTAACTGACGAAATCTTCTGATGCGAAAGTCTTGCTGCAAGTGATAAAATGTGTATACAGAAGCAACTTACAGACGCGAGAAATTCGAGAAGAGACACAGCGAAGTGTCTGGTAATGCGTAGCAAATGTGGCACTTTTCACACAAAGTGCATTCAAAGAGTTGCGCCCTCCTTTGTCCTGTCACTCACATAGGCAGAATTTTCACTAAAGCAAATAGACGTTTTCATAATAATACACGAGAGAATTCAATTAGATTTCCCATTTGTTCCCCTTCTCCTTCTATCGCACCAATGCGGCATTGAGGGCGGCAGTTTTGATGAGCCAAGTGACTCTAGAGGTGGTTTGAGGAAGCACTGGTGTATATTTGTAATGAAGTGGATGAGTGGCAAAACTAATTTACTCAATTAACGTCTCCTCTCCTACCGATTCACCAGGCGCCTCCATTTTTCTGTCATGCAACACACAAAAGCTCTCTTCAATCACCATCCGCGCGCGAGACACCATTTGCTCCCCTGTCGATGGTTGTAAAATAGTTTGAAAAATACCGCGAAATACCACCAGAACATCCCCGGCAATTATCCCCACTCATCCCACCGCGTGCAATCCTGATGAGGTCGACATTTGAGGGGCGGATGTGAGATGGGAAAGATAATAGAGCCAGAGATGGGAGGATTTTCTGCAATTTTCCGCTCTCCTGACACTCTTTTGCTCTTTCGTGCCTCCCCCGCCGGTATTTGTGTCCCGAGGCTCAGAGTGGAGGAGTCTTGGCATTTAGATGGGGAGGATTAAGAGCCTAACTCAGTACAATTGAGTTCACCTCTCGGAGTCCCTTTTCGCTACGCCCCCAGCCGACCATCGACATTCTGCTGTCACACAGCGGCCCAAAGAAGTCTTCGGCAGCTCAATCAGCCGGAGAAACTCTTTGCTTTCATTCCACATTAAGTCCATTTTATCCCACTACACATATCCTCTAAGGATCCTATTGATTTCACTCTCAGCTCAACTCTGAAGTCCTATTATCGTCTCTTCGGGAGTGTCTTTGGGACGTCTTGTTGTCGATTCTCGCATTGCATTCTCGGGAAAATAAGCAAATTCCGGGTGTTCTTTCTGCGAAATCAATAGAAAGATTGCTTCACGGAGATTTCTCTCTATTATCTCAGCTCAATCGCAGAATCTGCAAATACTCTTCCAACTCCAATTCTGAAATTGATGCTTATCGCTCTTGAAATTGGGGAATTTTGCAAATAGAAGAAAAGAGAGCTACATTGACTAAGAGATTGTAGATTAAAGCTTCGCCCAAAAATCATTCTCGGATGTCATAGAATCAAAACACTTTCCGGTCCAATATCGCCTCACTCTCCCCTAAATTTATGAAATGAACACTCTGAATTCTCTCTATTGAGGTTGCTCTACAAATTGTGCCACATGAAATATTTTTATTTAAGTGCTGTTATGAGTATTTTGTGAAAATGTCCAGTGACAAGAGTTGCAAAAATATTTACTGCTTGGATGTGCTGTAATGTGCGGAGGCTCGAAATTATTATTTATGTCCACTCGCTCTCTCTGCATTATTCACAATTATTAAATTGAGGATCAATATTTCTGTATTTCGCCAACATTCGCCCATTTTGCCGGCTTCACATGAATCAGAGACATGAAGCATCCCCGTTGCGCGCCCTCAAAAGTGGTCCATGGGAAGTTTGGGGGCAAATAACTTCATCCTTGGCAAGCAATTCATTTAATTTTTGGGCTCATGACAAAGAATAGCATTATGAGGAGAGCTATATTTTTTGTGCCCCTCCAATGAGAGCGCGCTCACGTCATGAAAGGAGTTCAGGCTGAGGAAAACACGCAATGGGATTTAGAACACACGTTCACTGCCAGGACATCGCGATGTAAGAAGCATAATTGCTGAAAATTCACGGGAAAATCAATCCTGTGATTAAATTTCGACGTCTCGCGTCTCTCAGCATCGCACAAGAGAGTGTTTTTTCGACGTGTGTGTGTGTGTGTGGCACAATTTTTATTTCTTTGGCTTGTAATTTCGTGAAAATCTTACACATCACTCTTCTGGCCACTCTGTAGCAGCTCATTTTCTCTTTAGCGCAGAGAAGAATGTGAATTTTATTGGCAAGAGACTTAATGTACCCAAATTTTCCCGCGTGAAACAACAACAAAACCGAAAGGCAAAATTATAAAATTTGATAAATAATTCACAGTTGTTTCCCACAAGCGGCTTCGATGATCTCGGAAAGTCTCGCGAGAAATCGTGCGCGAGGAAAATTTACAATTTCTTGAGATTATTCAATTTTTTTTACCGCTTCATGCACTGGCCAGACGATGATTGA